GCTCAATATCCGGTTTCTGTTATTTTTTTGCTATTGTTTCAGGATGCTTGCTGTTCGGTTCTGCTGCACCGGAGCCTCCCTTTGTTTTTTTTCTCTTTTTTTTTCAGTAGGGTGACTATTTGGTTTCTCGACATGTGATTCTCCCTTTATTTCTTGTGACCCACGAGCTGTGCGGCAGTTTTCTGCTCTAGTATCACCCGGCACGCAAGCCTCTGCTCCAGCTTTGCTCGGTGCACACAGCCAGCCTCCGCTCTGCGCAGCAGCATCAGCTGCCTCAAGTCTGCTGTTCTAAGCCATCCGGCCCCTTTCCCAGGTAGCTTGCAACTTGGTTTCTCCCATACACAAGACTCCGTGTTTTCTGACCGGTGGATTCGGTTTGGCAGTAATGTCAGCTTCCAACTTTCACTCTGTGCAGCATCCTCAGCTCTCAGAGAAGCCTGGTGCAGCCTCTTTCTTGCCAGGGATGCAGTTTGCCCAGCTTCTCCTGGGATCGTCGTTCCTCCTCATTACTGACCGGCCTGGGCAGATTAGCCCCTCCAGCCAGAAATCAATGATCTCATTTTCACCTTTTCAGTTTTCCCCCACCTCTTGCAATTGGTCCTGAAAATCTCCAGCTGATCAGACAATCTTACTGATCAGACAATCTTATCAAGTCATTTCTTCAAGGATTATTTTTTTGAATATATTTTTTTTCATTTGGTAAAATCTGCAATGAAGTACGATTGTGATATTTATTGTTCTATGCTTCCTATTTTAGCTCTGCGATTGGTCCCCCAGGTTTGGTAGTGTGGTCTGGTGGATATATGCACAGAACCTTCTCTGTTACTTCAGAAATATACAGAACAAGGCTGAGGTCATTCCAAGTGTGTGGTTTCCAGCCTTCCCCATCTTGACCAATGTGCAGCATCCACCTGGATGGCGCGACGGCAGCCATAGTGCGCCAGAACGCTCACCACACATCAGCGATCAGTGGGGAGGAGAGCAGAGTAATTAAGCCAATTTATAGAGGGGGATTGTTAGGAGGCCATGATTGATAAAGGCCGATGGGAAATTTGGCCTGGACGCCGGGGTACACCCCTACTCTTTTCGAGAAACACCCTGGGTCAGGACCTCGGTTTTACGTCTCATCCGAAGGACGGCGCCTGTTTACAGTATAGTGTCCCCATCACTACACTGGGGCATTAGGACCCACATGAGCCGCAGGGTTCGTGCCCCCTGCTGGCAGAAGTATCTCTGTCTTAGTTTCTTCAACAGCAGTAGTTTGTATATTATACCGAACTTTTCCCATTTTCTCTCCCCATGTGACTGAACCTTGCTATGAATTTCCATGTTCACTCAACACAGAGTTGCTGGTCTAACCTCACACCAGACTTGACATTCCTTGTCAACTTTTGACCCTTTTTACTGAGGAGTCAGAGGAGAAACAACTAAAAGTAATCACTCTTGCAAATGTGAAACCTTCTTTAGCACTCTCTTTGTGTCTCTGGAACGTCACTACACTGCCTTCTTCTGGCCAAATACAGTTTTAATGCTTTAGATCCAGTTAATCCATTACAATCTCCTAACTGCAAATCATCACAGCATGAAACGTTACCATAGAGTTTTGTATACCTTGTGCATCCTAGGTATGGATGGATAAAGGAAAACAGATTTTCTTCTCTCACAGTGTTGTGTTTGTGCAGACCGCCTAATACCACTCAGAAGCTACAACAAATAGAACAATAGAATGGAACTGCTACAGGTACAGTAAGACTAAAGGTAGCTCTGGGAAATGATAACAAAGGTGAAATTCCTGTAGACAGCAAGGTACTGTAACAAGGTAACAGGTGTTTTTCAAAATTGTTTATTCTCTGCATTCACTGATAATGAAATATTTAATTGTTAAAGGTAATACCACAAGCAATATTCATGAATTGAGCAGTACATGCAGTACAGCCTACACATACAGTGGTTATAAAACATATTCATCCCTTTGGCATTTTTCACATTGGATTAACTCTATCAATCTACTAATTAACTCTAAAGCTTTTTCTTAATAACTAGCAGCTGTGTTGACACTCTGGTAAGATAAAGAAGGGAGTCTGTCCAAGTGGGAATGAACGAGTTGAGGGAGATTCCACTGCTACTAACTGAAAGGGACGAGAAGGAGAAAGATGTGGAAGTTATACTCTATTGGCATTGGGAAGGTTATTTACATCAGGGCTGGTCTGGCCGCCGTCCACTTCCCATAATGAAAGTGGATTTGTGTGCACAGATCCTTCACGCTGCACTGCCAAACTAGTGGGATCTGTCTCACTGTATGATCAAGACTGGTTGTATTTTATTTAAAACTAAATATGAAAAAAAACTTAAAGAATACAATTTTAATTTGTATATAGGTCTTTGCTTGGTCAAGTGTCTGTTAGACCATATTCAACAATTTCTCTGCATGCAAAAGTGGTTCAGTATGGCAATGGTTTTTGGGTTATCCAATTTCATTCATGATAATAAAGTTTAAAAAGAATGAATACAGTGTTTTAAAATTGTTGATGAATCGATCAAATTACTGCAGCAATATGCTCCTGATCTGCTAAGAATATTTCAATTCATTTGTAACCACTTCTTCTAATTGGACTGTGGACTGTGGGAGGAAACCAGAGTACCAGAGGGTAACAACACTGCTAGACAGAAATACTTACCACTGTGCCACTGCCATATTTCTGAAATGTTGTTTGTTAAAAAACAAGTTTTCAAATTCCTCCTCTGGTCTGCTCTCAAATTATTACATTATTTTTAAAAATCAGCCTTTTTTCCTTTAACATATTTTTAGAAAATTCTCATGGGAGCATTATGGTGATTCTTGTGTGTATTTTATTCTCTAATTTCTATTTGGTTTTAAAACCAGTTATTTCTTCTTTCATGACTCATAGTCAAATAATGTTCTTGGCAAGAGAACACATCTTAAAATTACAGAAGAACACCTGTTCCTCACTATGCAAAGCTGGACATTCCTGTGTTGCTACTGCTGATGTGGTCAAAGTGTTATTGTGCTTCTGTTACTGCAGTCTGACCTTCTTTTTTGAGAAGACAATAATGAATTGAAAGGACACAACATGTTGATGTATTACCTGCTTCTGAGCTTGTTGCATAGTGGTGAAGTGTGTGGTGAGATGCATGAGTAGCTGAAGGGTGAGGTGTGTCACTGGTAGGGCTGCCTGAGGTAGACTGTATTCTTATTCTTATTCTGTAAATCAGTTTCTTTTCTGGTCATCGGTGTGAAATCGTGGCAAAGTCTTGGGTCTTATTCACTTTAAGTTAAGTTTTATTAACTTTTAAGTTTCTTTAAGGGTTAAGTTTCTCTTTTCTCTGTTATGATGTGGTGACCATTATTTCTTCATGCTTCATGCACAACCATTGTTTCAGAGAAACTCCCTTCTGCAGTAATGCTCATTATATTGATGTTTCTCTTCAGTCATGTT